CTATGTCACCCCCTACTTTTGACCAGGTTCAATAGTGATGTAATGTATTTTCAGTTGAACCCATTAATTCTAGTTTTTTCGGGACCGTAGTCACCAAGGAGGATAGCTTTCTCAGAAAAGGTCTGGGCTAATCACTGCAATTTAGAAGAGAAGGATGAAAGGATGGCGGGAGGGAGGGATGGAATCTGCGAAAGAGAAGGTGAGGAGAGAGGAGGAGGAGAAGGAAGAGGGAGGTCAGGAGGAGGAGGAGGGGAGGTCAGGAGGAGGAGGAGGAGGGGAGGTCAGGAGGAGGAAGAGGTGGAGGAAGAGTAGAGTAGAGTTCACCAACATCACAGCAGGAACAGCAGCATGGCCTCAAATAATCAGACTGTGTGTGCGGTACTGTATATCCACTGCAAATCTGAGAGCCCTTTCCTACCTACTCTTATGCTAAGCCACCCACACCTTTGGAACTACCACACACCCACTCTCCCTCCCCCCTCTCTCTCTCCCTCACTATCTCTCTCTCCACGCCCTTGTTGGTGAGTGTAATGTGGGCTTGCTGAAACAACACAGTATTAAAGATGCATAATACAGAGGGTTAGAGAGAGGTATCTGGCTGTGGGGGATCCAGGTAGACCATATGAGGTTAGAGAGAGGTATCTGGCTGTAGGGGATCCAGGTAGGACCATGTGAGGGTTGGAGGGGACAGGCAAGGGACTGGAGTCCCAAATGCGTTTAAGTATATTTAGTACTATTGTAGGAAGTATGCCGGGGAAGTGTGTTCATTTAAGTATGCTTGAAAGACCAATGTTGATATGTTGGCATAGAGCCATATCTCCATCACCTAGTCTGACGTTGGCCAGAGCTACTGCTGCATCCCCATGGTAGTCAGTTTGGTGCCAACATGGCGCCCTGAAAGCCCAATCCATCCTCGATACTTTGTGACAGCTCTGAAAACATTGGATAGTTTGCGGTGGGTTACGTGTTGCCTGAATAAATCCTCCTGCATTCCCTATACTCATATTCTCTGCCCTTATTTACTGAGACTGCCCTGTCCTCCTCCTTTGTCTCATCCCTCCATCTCCCTCTCCCTCGTTTCTCACTCGCTCTCCGCTGCATGGCAAGGCCGAGCATCACTGCAACACTGTCACAAAGGAACGGTGACTCATACACTTAGATGCTCCATCTCTTTTCTCTTTTTTCCTTTCTCTCTTTCTCTCGCTCCCTCCCTATCTCACACAAACAGCTTGGCTTTGGATTCTCTCTGAATTTCAAACAGTAGATACATCAACAGGTATGTTTTTACATTTCTACATTTTAGTCATTTAGCAGACGCTCTTATCCAGAGCGACTTACAGTTACTGAGTGCATACATTTTCCATACATTTTCCATATTTACACCTATAGACTGGCATTTCCCACTAAAACATGCATCCACTTGCTAACATATGTCAACACAAACACTCCCTTATCTGCCACAAACAGCTTCCTACACTGAGGTTTTGGATTATCTCTGAATTTCAAACAGCAGCTACATCAACTGGTAGCTTTGCATTAAAGTCTATAGACTGGCACTTCCTACTGTTGGAACACATGCATGAGCATTCTATAGTTAACAACATGCATTAACAAACAATTACTAGCTACATTTACATTTTAGTCATTTAAAATAAGGACAGACGCTCTTTTCCAGACCGACTTTCTGTCAGCGCATTCAACTAATGTAGGTAAAAACATTTTTTTTAACAATTCAGAAGGCACAAGCACACATTGCTACTTTTAAAATTGCATTTTATTGTCATTATAAAATTACATTCACACATGATTCCCTTTGATAACCTGTCTGCGTCCCAAATGGCACCCTTTTCCTTCTATAGTGCACTACTTTTAACCAGCATCCTGGTCAAAGGTAGTGCACTAGAAAGGGAATAGGGTTCCATGACTGGAGCGTAGTTCAGTCGTTATTTATCACATGCCTCCCACCTCAAATGAATACAACCCTACACACAGAGTCCCTGAAAAACCTTAACGCTATTCAAAATATCTTCCAATTTCTTACCCGGTGCAGTTCCAATAATCCATACGAGCGCACAACTAAGAATGAACTCGAAAGCTCTGTCCCATTGCTCATACCACTATACCACTTTGAACTGAGCAATATATTGGACAGATGAGATGGAGAAGGACGACTGAAAAGAAGATGGCGTGTGGCTTGACCTGATCAACCCTCGCCAAGAAGGCTGCAGACCAGAAGCAGCGGTGATCTCTTGTAGAAGCCTTGTGTTGCTCCAGTCACGGAGAGGATTGGGTAAGTAGGAAGGTAAGTCATATAATGGCCATGAATTCTAAGGGGTATGCCAGTGTGGATATTGGAACATAGCCTATGTATTGATACTACTTGGAGTAAAGCAATGTATTGGGAATGCACACTAGTAAGTAGTATGCTGGTATGAACATTGGAACGTACCTTTTTAAAAGCAAAGGGGTAAAGTCTGGTCATAAGAACACACATTTCTGAAGCCAAACTCTCTTGTAGTTGCAGTTTATTCCTATTAGTTTCATCCCTCTTGTTGCAGACAAAAATATGATTACTCTTTGGAAAGCAGGTATTCGACAGGCGTAAATTGGGGAGAAGTGATCTGCCATGTGGTACAGTACTGCATTTAGTTTGTGTGTGTGTGTGTGTATATAGGAATGGTAAATAGGTTTTTCTCTAAAAAGTCACGTGTCGCAAAGTAGTTTGTTTACCTTTTTTGTATGCATTGCAGCTGAAAAACAACCTGAAACTCTATTTTTTGCCCTGGGTTATTTTTAACTCAGTTGCATACCATCACATTGAGCCCTTTCTACATAAACACATTCATGTTAGCACATCCACACACAGGCTAAAAAGTCATATCAAACTTCTCCATAGGTCAATTGCTCGATACAGGAAAGCCAGAGAGCGAGAGCGAGAGCGAGAGAGAGAGAGAGAGAGAGAGAGTCTGAAACAGTTCCGGAACGCAGGAATAGAATTCTGGATGGAACTGGAATTTTGGGAAGAATCATTGTTCAGTTTGTTTCCCTTCCCCTTTATATGAATGTCAATGTTTCTTCTTTGTTTGTACCCTGACGAGATCCTGCTACGGGTTCAACACAACTCACCAACGCAGAGAATCAATGTGTTCCCTTAAAAACAATAAAAACAGCAAATGTATTATATTATTATTATTAATAATCTCATAACGTGTGGTCCATTTACAAAACATTTTAAACAGCCATTCATTTAAAAGCAAATCTATGCATATCCCAAATGGCACCCTATTCCCTACATAGTGCCCTACTTTTGAGGGAATAGGTTGCCATTTGGGGACGCAACACTAATCTGATCCAAGTTTTGATGTTTAACTTCATCCCCAGTTATAAAAAGGCTTGAGATGTGTTCTGACCTGCCTCTCTTGAGGGAAATGTCAAAAGTCAAATCAGACCTGGGTTCAAATACTATTTCAAATACTTAAAGCCAAGCTTGATTGAGCTTCCTGGCACAATGGAACCAATATAATGGTCTCCAGGCAGGCTAAAGCAAACGCTGGAAGTACTTGAACGATCTTCAGATGGTATATGAACCCAGGTCTGGGTCATAACAGTAGTAGTAGCTAAATCTTCCAGTCAAAAGTGGTATCATTTTCACAGAGCCACTGTACATAGGGCATGGATCATTATGGTTGCAATGTTCCGGTAACTTTCCCAAAATTCCCAGGTTTTGCACAAATCTGTTGTAAAATCCCAGGAATCAGACAGGAATTAACAGGAAATACAGAATCCTCCATCCAGGATTTCTGGAAAACTTCACAATTTTGGGAAAGTTTGTTTTGCAACCCTGAACCATCATGATAATATACAATTAACGTCAGCAATGTTTTGAATTCAACGGTGTGAATCTCAACTGACACCCTATTTTACCTAACAAAGTGCACTTATTTTGGCCAGAGCCATAGAGTACTATGCTGGTAAGAGTGCCACTTGAGACACAGTCTCCCCCCCCACCACAGCTTACCTCCAAACTCCTCCATTTACCCCCTCCCAATACACACCCACATCACAATCCCCCCTGCACCTGGAACCCAAAGAGTCTCTTTGTCTGTAGCCTGATAAAATGTGCTGTGATCAGATACCCTGCTGTTACTATGCCAGACCCATCTCCTCTAGAACACTTCTGGGAGAGTCATCCTCCTGTAGGGGGAGATGGAGAGAAGGGGAACAGCATATCATTACATATTACAAGTCTAGAATGTACATTATCACATTCTAGAATTATGAGGGTCTATGACCTCATCCCCTCTAGTAATTCAACAGTATTCTCTGTGGGGAACAGATGCTCTGACAGAATAACGATTCACCATCGTACAACACAGAAAAACACATATCATTCATTACATTTACATTTAAGTCATTTAGCAGTTCATTCTAAGGTAGAGTCCTAGTGAGTGTGGTAGAGATAACTCCAAAATACACTGATGGAGGTCGACTGTTGGTAAAAAAAACATCCATTCAATAGTTTGAAGCATCAAGAACACCGGCTAGCTGGAGTTTAACCTTCTTTTTAATAAGAGAGATCACTTCTACCTCCTGTAGTGTGGTGTGTGTGTGTGTGTACCTCCTGTAGAAGGTCAGCCTGTTCGATGGCCTTGAGGACACTCTTCTTGGACGTGTCCTGGATCTCCCCCCCCATCAGAAACTCATCCAGTATAAAGTAGGCCTTCTCAAAGTTAAAGATGATGTCCAGCTCACAAACCTACCGGGGCGCGCACACACCACAGCACACAGATGCAGAGGGAGGAATCAGAATCACCTTTATTTACCAAGTACATTTACACAGTCTACATATACAAGAAGAGGAGCTTGACAGGAGAGAGAGGAGAGAGAATTGGAGATAGTTCAGTAGAGGGACAGTGACCATATATGATTAGAGTCACATGAAAACCTTTAGATTGTCTGGTAGTAATACAGACTGGACACAGACAGGGAGGAAAAATATGAAAAGACCAGAGATTAGAGTGAAGTGGGAAAGAAGTAAGAGACAGAGACAGAGAGAAGAGAGAGAGAAGAGAGAGAGAGAGGAGAGGAGAGAGAGAGAGAGAGAGAGAGAGGAGAGAGAGAGAGAGAAGAGAGAGAGACAGAGACAGAGACAAAACAGAGAAGGAAGAAGGAGAGAGAGGGAAAAAGAGAGAGAGAGAGAGAAAAGGGAAGGAGGGGAGAAGCAAGAGGGAAAGCGAGAGAGAGAGCAAGAGGAAAGGAAGGGAGAGGGGAAAAAAAGAGGAGGATGGGAAAGAGAAGGGGAGGGTGAGAGGAAAAAAAGGGGAAATGGTGGAGATATGAGGAGGGGAAAGAGGAGGTAACCCTTTTTGATTTGGTTGTCTTTAAAGTTTGGGTTGGTTTTCGTCTTAAGGGGTTTTTTGTCCTCGGTCGTTTTTCTCAAGATCGTTTCTACCTCTCTCTATTCTTTTTCCTCTTTGGTTTGCCTCTCTTCTCTGCTCCGGGCTCCTCTCTCTTCTTTTCCTCGTCCCCCAGCTTTGTTCTTCTTTTTTCCTTCTCTTCTCTCTTCTTTTCCCTTGGCCTTTTGGGGATCTCTTCTGTTTCCATCTCCTTTTTCCCCCCTGCTTCTTTCCTTTAAACTTTAAGAAGAGAGGAGAAAGGGAAGAGGCCAAAAAGGGAAAAGAGAAAAGAGAAGAAAAGAAAAAGAAGGATAGAGAAAGGGGGGAAGAGCGAGGGGAACCATTCCCCGCAAGAGAAAGGAAGGGGAAGGCAAAGCCCAAAGGGGAGGGGAAAGAGGGAGGGGGTACCAGAGAAGGGGGGCTCAAAGAGAGAGAGACAACACCCCCCCCCGGCCTCCCCGGGGGCGGGGGCCCCCAGAAGACAGAGGAAGCAGGCAGAGAGAGAGACATTTAAAATATAGAGTAGAGAGTGAGAGAGAAAAAGAGAGAAAAGGGTTGGCGAAACATGGTTGTTTCGATAGAAAAGAGATAGAGTGACTCACGCTGCCGAAGTACTTATCCAGCAGCTCTACGAAACGGTGGATGACCTCCAGAGTAATAAGCTCGTTGTCCTCCTCCTCCACCGCACAGCAGAAATACAGACTGGCATACCTAACACACACACACACATTGTGTTATTGATGTTCAACTCACCCACACTATATAAGTCTACTGCTGCCTGTTGTGTTATTGATGTTCAACTCACCCACACTATAGAAGTCTACTGCTGCCTGTTGTGTTATTGATGTTCAACTCACCCACACTATAGAAGTCTACTGCTGCCTGTTGTTTTATTGATGTTCAACTCACCCACACTATAGAAGTCTACTGCTGCCTGTTGTGTTATTGATGTTCAACTCACCCACACTATAGAAGTCTACTGCTGCCTGTTGTGTTATTGATGTGTAACACAACCCACCACGATAGAAGTCTACTTCTGCCTGTTGTGTTATTGATGTGTAACCCACCCCACACTATAGAAGTCTACTGCTGCCTGTTGTGTTATTGATGTTCAACTCACCCACACTATAGAAGTCTACTGCTGCCTGTTGTGTTATTGATGTGTAACACACCCACACTATAGAAGTCTACTGCTGCCTGTTGTGTTATTGATGTGTAACACACCCACACTATAGAAGTCTACTGCTGCCTGTTGTGTTATTGATGTGTAACACACCCACACTATAGAAGTCTACTGCTGCCTGTTGTGTTATTGATGTGTAACACACCCACACTATAGAAGTCTACTGCTGCCTGTTGTGTTATTGATGTGTAACACACCCACACTTTTATCATTGAGGTTAGCTAAGGTGTTCCACGGGAAGGACTAACCAGGGAATCTAGAACCCTCCAACCAGGATTTCTGGAAAACCTGGGAATTTAGGGAAAGTTACCAGCAACCCTAGGTTCAGCTGAGAATAAGAGGTTCTGGGTGAATCCCTGGAGCGCCAGTCCAGTCCGTAACCCAGGACAACTAATAACTACTGAAAGTGAATCTTGTTTTGCTGCTGTTAACAATGCCAGTCTATGCAGTGTAGTGTTGTTAATTCCTCAGCTTTTTACCAAAACAGTGGCGGGGTGACGCTTTGTTATTCTTTGAATGCAGATTGCCTCTAATGACTCAAGTCTATGCAGTCAGACAATTCAAGGGGTGTGATGTTCAAAATGGCATGTGCCTGTAGTCTTATACACCATAGTGTGTGTGTGGTGTGTGTTAGAGCATTAGAGAAGTCAGTCAGCTCGTTGGCTCCCTCCCCTGGCCAAAACAGGTACTACATGACACTGCAGTGCACAATGATCAAATCAAATCAAATGTTATTGGCCACATGCGCCGAATACAACAGGTGTAGACATTACAGTGAAATGCTTACTTACAGCCCTTAACCAACAATGCATTGATTTTTAATTAAAAAGTAAAATAAAACAAAAAAGTGTTGAGGAAAAAAAGAGCAGAAGTAAAATAAAATTACAGTAGGGAGGCGATATATACAGGGGGGTACCGGTGCAGAGTCAATGTGCGGGGGCACCGGCTATTCGAGGTAGTTGAGGTAATATGTACATGTGGGTAGAGTTAAAGTGACTATGCATAAATAATTAACAGAGTAGCAGCAGCATAAAAAGATGGGGTGGGGGTGGGGGGGCAGTGCAAATAGTCCGGGTAGCCATGATTAGCTGTTCAGGAGTCTTATGGCTTGGGGGTAGAAGCTGTTGAGAAGTCTTTTGGACCTAGACTTGGCACTCCGGTACCGCTTGCCGTGCGGTACCAGAGAGAACAGTCTATGACAATTTTGAGGGCCTTCCTCTGACACCGCCTGGTATAGAGGTCCTGGATGGCAGGAAGCTTGGCCCCAGTGATGTACTGGGCCGTACGCACTACCCTCTGTAGTGCCTTGCGGTCAGAGGCCGAGCAGTTGCCATACCAGGCGGTTGATGCAAACCAGTCAGGATGCTCTCGATGGTGCAGCTGTAGAATTTTTTGAGGATCTGAGGACCCATGCCAAATCTTTTTCAGTCTCCTGAGGGGGAATAGGCTTTGTCGTGCCCTCTTCACGACTGTCTTGGTGTGTTTGGACCATGATAGTTTGTTGGTGATGTTGGACACCAAGGAACTTGAAGCTCTCAACCTGTTCCACTACAGCTCCCGTCGATGAGAATGGGGGCGTGCTCAGTCCTCTTTTTTTTTTCCTGTAGTCCACAATCATCTCATTTGTCTTGGTCATGTTGAGGGAGAGGTTGTTATCCTGGCACCACACGGCCAGGTCTCTGACCTCCTCCCTATAGGCTGTCTCATCGTTGTCGGTGATCAGGCCTACCACTGCTGTGTCGTCGGCAAACTTAATGATGGTGTTGGAGTCGTGCCTGGCCATGCAGTCATGGGTGAACAGGGAGTACAAGAGGGGGCTGAGCACACACCCCTGAGGGGCCCCCGTGTTGAGGATCAGTGTGGCATATGTGATGTTACCTACCCTTACCACCTGGGGGCGGCCCGTCAGGAAGTCCAGGATCCAGTTGCAGAGGGAGGTGTTTAGTCCCAGGATCCTTAGCTTAGTGATGAGCTTTGAGGGCACTATGGTGTTGAACGCTGAGCTGTAGTCAATGAATAGCATTCTCACGTTGGTGTTCCTCTTGTCCAGGTGGGAAAGGGCAGTGTAGAGTGCAATAGAGACTGCATCATCTGTGCATCTGTTGGGGCAGCATGCAAATTGGAGTGGGTCTAGGGTTTCTGGGATAATGGTGTTGATGTGAGCCATGACCAGCCTTTCAAAGCACTTCATGGCTACAGACGTCAGTGCTACGGGTCGGTAGTCATTTAGGCAGGTTATATTAGATGCTTGTACAGAGTCACTGAGGTGCAAAGCCTCACACAATAAGGATACTGACGGCCGAGAGGTACTTAGCACCTCTTCCCAGTGTCGACAGTAAAAATGTTGTGGTTCACACAGATCATCCACCGTCTGCCTAGATAGCGTTGCTTTCTTAAGCTATGTTTAGCTTGTGCCTGCTTCTAAATATGTAGATAGCTAATGTTGGCTAACTAGCAAGCTGTGCTAATGTTGCTAGCTAGCTATAATTTGTAGTAAGCCCTTGTTGATACTAGCCTGATGGCCACAACTGGATAACTAGCAACATTATAATTAAATCACAATGGACTTGTTTTCGCAAGTGCACATTATCAAAACTAACAAAACAATTATTTAAGCGCAAAACTCCTTAGCTAGATGTAAAAGATGTAAAGACGCTCTAGAAAAATACATAATATTACGCAGCTTAATTGTTTTAGTTAGTCCGGGCTCTCCAATTGGCTCAGGCAAGTTGTCGGCCACTGTTCCAGTAAAAGAAGGAACGGCCTACTACTATTATAGTACCTATCAGCCGTCAGTTCTCTCTGTGTGTCTAACCTCTAAGCTACTATGGGATGCTATGGGCAGCTTTTACCAAGAGTGCTGTGTGTGGATGCCTTCTGCATTAGTTATAACAGTGAATCACTGAGCATCCGTTGTTCTGGAACACACTGTTAAGTGTAAACGCTGTCTGCCGTGAGACATCAGTGTCTGGAGAAAACAATAGAAACGCCTCAAAAGACAGGCTGGAGCCTGGGTGGCATTCACTGTGATCACACACACACACACACACACACACACACACACCACAGTAATATCACGAGGTGACAGTCCGTCTCTTAAAATCCCCCCTGGAACCACATTTGAAGGACAATTATTACCAGTAAAGTGGGGCGATGTTTTGATGGGGGGGAATGATTAGAGTGTAACACCAAACACTGAGTCACTGGCTGACTGACTCATCATTCCAACCATGACAACTCATTTTCAGAGGAGACAGTTGGCATTTCAGAAGCTCATTCCACACCCCCAGAGTGAGTGAGTACGCACAATTTCAGATACTAATGTATGTGTAGCTCACAGACAGTAGCCTATACTTAATCAATAAGGCCCTTAGCCGTGGTGTATTGGCCATATACCACAAACCCCCGAGGTGCCTTATTGCTATTATAAACTGGTTACCAATGTAATTAGAGCAGAAAAACTAAATGTTTTGTCATACCCGTGGTATACCACGGCCTTCTGCCAAATCAGAATTCAGGGCTCAAACCACCCAGTTTATGAAAACATTTGCAGCACATGTTCAAGTGTGTGTGAACAGCGCATGTAGCGGCTACATGCTGTTTCACACAACCATGAAAACGTAGGTATACAATAAACAGCCTATCCTTTTAGGGACCTGTAGGGTGTAGTACTGTACGTGTAGGAGTTGAGTATGTCATGAATATTGTGAACTTGTAAATGTATATCTACCGTGTGTGTACAGAGAGAGACACAGAGAGAGAGGCATACAGAGAGAGACAGAGACAGAGAGAGAGAGAGAGAGACAGAGACATACGGAGAGAGACAGAGAGGACACAGGAGACCATACAGCGAGAGACAGAGACAGAGAGAGACATTTTTAACCCCACAAGGGGGGAACTACAGAGAGAGGACAGAGAGACAGAGACCTTACAGAGAGAGCCAGAGACAGAGACATACAGAGAGACAGAGAGACACGAGATACAGAGAGAGACAGAGACAGAGACATACAGAGAGAGACAGAGACAGAGATACAGACGAGGAGACAGAGAGAGAACAGAGAGGAGACAGAGACATACAGAGAGAGGAGGACAGAGAGAGAGAGACAGGACAGGACATACAGAGAGAGAGAGAGAGAGAGACAGAGAGAGACTGAGAGAGAGAGACATACGGAGAGCATACAGAGAGAGACATACAGAGAGAGACATACAGAGAGAGACAGAGACAGAGAGAGAGAGAGAGAGAGAGAGAGAGAGAGAGAGAGAGAGAGAGAGAGAGAGAGAGAGAGAGAGAGAGAGAGAGAGAGAGAGAGAGAGAGAGAGACAGAGACATACAGAGAGAGACAGAGAGCCAGAGAGAGAGAGAGACCGAGAGACCGAGAGATATATTCCAGTACCTCTTGTAGACGATCTTGAGGTCCCTCCACTCCAGGAAGCTGCTCATCTTGGGTTTGCGGGCCAGCACCACCTGCATCAGTTCCCTGACCATCTTCTTCTTGTCCCTCTCGGCCGTGGCCGTGTACCACTTCTGGAGACGCAGCTTCCCCTGCCGACTGAACAGCAGCATGAAACGCATCTATACATGGGGAGGAGATAGCAAGACATTTTAATATATTTTGAGTCCAAGACTAGGTTTAATCTGTGTCCGGGAAACCAGGGAGTATAGAGGAGGACACGAGGGGTATGATAGATAGAAGAGAGATCTAGGCATAACACTAGACAGATAAATATTCAGTTGTTGTACCAATACTGGACACACCACACCACACACAGTGAGTCTGATACATTAACAACCTGCACTGGGATGATGGGAGAGAGAGGAGGGAGGGAGGGAGGGAGAGAGAGGTGGGAGGGAGGGAGAGAGGAAGGTAGACAGAGAGCGGAGGGAGGGAGCGAGAGGAGGGAGGGAGAGTAGGGAGGGAGGGAGAGAGAGAAAAACAGACAGAGAGAGCTCTTCCCTCATGACTCTCAAGTGCATTATCTTTTCACAATTTATCACAAATGTGTACATTAGTCTACTGTATGCCCACAGTGTTAATACTGAGGAGGAACAACTGTACAGTAGCCTAGCTTCCTATAGAACACTGGAACCCCCTGGCACCACGTGGTCTGGTGTAGCGTCAATCTCCTAGAGACTAATGCCTGGCCACTAATGTAGCACAAACACACAGAATATAACACACTGTAACCGTTTTGCCTTGAGGTTATTGTTTGTTAGGGGTGTCAGGTAGGTTGTGCCTACCAGAGAAAATATTGATTTCTCCTTTTTGTTTGAGTCCCGTCCGGTCCGTCAAGTCTACACCAATACAAAGCACTCATGTAAAAGTCAGTATGGAAATACACTTTTCATAAACCCTTAAAACATGGGAAATAACTTCAAAACCACTGTTCTTTTGCGTTTCTTGTATTATCACAATAATCACACAATCAATAAGTCACAAAACAATAACATCCTTGGTTCACTGGTAAATGTCCCGTACCTCGGGCCTAAAAAGTGTCCAGCCTGGTAAATGTCCCGTACCTCTGGCCTAAAAAGTGTCCAGCCTGGTAAATGTCCCGTACCTCGGGCCTAAAAAGTGTCCAGCCTGGTAAATGTCCCGTACCTCGGGCATAAAAAGTGTCCAGCCTGGTAAATGTCCCGTACCTCGGGCCTAAAAAGTGTCCAGCCTGGTAAATGTCCCGTACCTCAGGCATAAAAAGTGTCCAGGCTGGTAAATGTCCCATACCTCGGGCCTAAAAAGTGTCCAGCCTGGTAAATGTCCCGTACCTCTGGCCTAAAAAGTGTCCAGCCTGGTAAATGTCCCATACCTCGGGCCTAAAAAGTGTCCAGCCTGGTAAATGTCCCGTACCTCGGGCCTAAAAAGTGTCCAGCCTGGTAAATGTCCCGTACCTCGGGCATAAAAAGTGTCCAGCCTGGTAAATGTCCCGTACCTCGGGCCTAAAAAGTGTCCAGCCTGGTAAATGTCCCGTACCTCAGGCATAAAAAGTGTCCAGGCTGGTAAATGTCCCGTACCTCAGGCATAAAAAGTGTCCAGCCTGGTAAATGTCCCGTACCTCAGGCATAAAAAGTGTCCAGCCTGGTAAATGTCCCGTACCTCGGGCATAAAAAGTGTCCAGGCTGGTAAATGTCCCGTACCTCGGGCATAAAAAGTGTCCAGGCTGGTAAATGAGTGCAGTGAACTCAAGTGACCTTAGTCACGCAATGTTTATCCATTCATAAAATGTAGCGTAAACCCAGTCTCAATCTACCACACAACCATAAAGAGTATCAGAAATCTCAGTAGTCTTCAACTACAATTGAACACATAAATCAACACTGTATAAAATCACCCCAAAACAAATGAAATACCGTATGCAAAAAAAGTGATAGTCAGTCAGTCAGACAATCCAATCCGCCAACAGATCTCCAGCGGAGAAAGTCCAACAATAGACATAAGTAGATCCGATACTGGTTGATCCTGCGCCACGGCTTCAGTACACACTTTTAAATACAACAAAACTGGGTATGAACGAGCTTCCAAGCTGAGGGTTGAACAGCTGATGCTGGCTATTTAATAGGGAATTAAAGGGGAAGCGCCCCATCGGTAGGAGAAGCACTGAGACGGTTCAGACAAATTCAGGGCCGTCACAACATACACACACTCAAACGATCAGACATTCGCACGCTCTCTGTATGCGCACACAACAAGACTATTAACCCCAGTAGCATATGGCCCAACTCTCACCAACAGTTCTCCCCATTAACACTGTCCCGGATCTCGTTCTCAACTCTGTAATATAGCCTGCCCACAACATCATATGTGAAAGTCACCTTTTAAAATTAATCTATAATTTATATGCGTAGTGTGTACTGCATGTGTGTGTGTGAGTGAAAGAGAGAGAGAGTGAGAAAACAAGAAAGAAAGTACAGTGAAGATGTGAGAACTAAGGAGTGTGTGTTCTCAGAGACACTACAGAGAGCGAGAGAGGCATGTGATGTGGGAGAGTAAGGTAAAAGAGGCCATTTTGTGCACAATAATATAATTCCTTTTGGGAGTATTCTTAGTCTCATCTGTGTCAGATCCTACAATGAGATGTGATGTAGCAGCAGCAGTCATAAGACTTAGTCAAAGGACCCACAGTATTGTAGCCTGGGCCCAGATCTCTTTGTGCCGTCTTGCCAACTCCTATGGTTATTGTCACGTTTGGCATGACAATGACCACAAACGAGTTGGCAAGACAGCACAAACAGATCGGGGACCAGGCTAACATTATTCAATTTAGCCAACAGAATGGACAGAGCTCTTCTGTGTACATTATGTCTACATAACATTAGAACAACTCAGAGACCCATCATTCTTCAAGAAGCAATGACCAGCCAACCATATAAATATTTGTTAGTTTAGTAATCAAATATTGACAGCAACTGTAAGGTATCATTCAAAGTTAGACTGAAAGCTACACAGAGAACATTAGCAGTTAGCTAGTCTCCTCTCCTCTGTAACTATTCCCCATTGCTGTAAATGTTCTCAGTCAACTTACCTGGTAAAAAAATGGCCTGAGTGGCAGTCTGTTTGTGCTATCATTGTCATGACAAACAAGGAGTTGGCATGATAGCATAAACAGACTGCCACTTCGGCTAGTTAGCTAGTTAGTTGGTTACCACGAAACACAGATGCAAAACTGAGCTACACATTATGTTAGGGACGATAGGTTATATACTATTGGTTAAATACACAGAACTAGACAAACCGTACAAACTAGAGCTGGGCGATAGACAACAATCCACTATAAATTAAATTAATTATCACGATAACGATAATTTCAACATTAAGTTTATAACAATGTGCAACAGTCATTTTTTAAATATTAAACGTTAAAACTGCTACTGTTCTAGCAATCAATTGTCCCATTAACAATAACCCATATTAGCAAACTTATTTCATTTCAAACGTCACATTTCTCTAGTAGGGCGGTGAAGGTTATTTATCATAATGAACGATATCAGCAAAATGTCCAAGATAAGTGATCGGTTTGGTCGGTGTCGATCATTTTCGGTTTATCGTCCCAGCTCTAGAACAAACTACTTACACCAATCAATAACACACAGTCTACTTGTGCTATGCTAGATCCACTTTACTTACAGTCGAACCCGCTCAGTGTTTTCTCTCTAGTATGAATCTGACAGAGAGAAGAGACACTATGAAGGGGTGTTATGTCCTGTAGTAGGATACTGGTGACAAGGAGACAGCATTTCCAGTTTGTATTGGTGTACTGATAAAGGGAGTGTTTACCAAGTTGACAAAGGTGGAAATTGTCTAATAGTCAACAGTTCATCATTCTGTCCACACTAGTACAATAAAGGTATCAGGGCAGCAATACAATAGGTAGTTGGCCTAACTGACTGACAACCAGGTCCGCCACAGAGAAAGGGGTGTCTGAATAGTTAGCTGCACATTTAATCAATACACATTGTTCATTTGTATCAACGCAGGGTCAGGGTTGGGGGTCACAGAGTATCTGCAACGTGTAGCCAATCAACAACTGACCTAACAAGCTAGTTAGATTTTTGTCTAATCCAATGACTGTATGGTCTAATCACTATAGTATTTGGCTAAGCAAATATCAAAAGGTTAGTTTTAAGCTTCGAAGGTAACTTGCTAACTAATGAGCGTACCATACTGTACATCTTGCTGGCGAAGTTAGAATTGATATTAGACACAATTCGAATGTGCGGCCTGTATATCAGCAAGCAACCTACCTGTATGTTAGCATTAACCACTTTCCCTTACTAGCTAGGTAACACAGTTGGCCAACCGGCTTGCCCTTTATTCTGCTTCCTGGAAACCATCCACTTTGCTAGCTAATGTGAGCTAGCCAGTTCGCTTTAGCTATTCAACTCTTTTTATGGCAATATTATCGCCAACAGTACTTACCATTTTATCGGGTTCTCGACGCAAATATTAACTCGTGTCTTCTTAGATTAATTACTTGATTTGGTTTTAAACGCAGCAAGCGTCAACATTCCATGTCTGTTTTAGCAGAATACTACCGCTAGAGAGAGCAACCCATTCGGCCAGTCAACTAGCTAGTAGCAGGAAAGAATCCGGTGACAGACGTCAGCTCAGTGAACATGCGCATTGCGCATTTCGAGGCAACCGTTTTGTTGCCATGCCAGCCAAGCCAACTCGCTAGAGCTAGGCCAATTTCAAACTATTACATTAGTAAAACTAAACGTAGACATAAAGTGCTTTCATTTGCGTTCATGAGTAGCCTATATTTTGTTATAAATCTGATTTGATGTGCACGAGGATGGGGGGCATGCGATGTGGAGAGTGTCTCTCACACCAGTACACTATTTTCGGGTGGTGTTGCCATGACAAACAAAACGGTCGATGGTGTGGTTTCCATGGAAATTGAGTTATTACGAAATGATTGCCAAAAATGTGTGCATTCAGTCAGCAAGAGAGATTTTTTAAAATCGATTTTTACACAATTTAGCTTGCCGGTTTTATCAGAGGCTGTACATATTGCAGGCAATATTAAATTTAGGCCTACTCTGTTGCCTAAATGTACTGCAACCACAACATGTAGGCTACACACAGCTTATGTCATACTGTGGGGCCTATTTTATTGTATTCAGAATCGGAATTAAAACCTATATTTCTGGATCCAACTACTCCAACTAAATAATTTATTTTCTAAGTCACTGTACATGTTATGGACACAAGAGGTTGACACTAATATGCAAATGTTTAAAATTGTAGGCTTCAACACATGTTAGGTTTTTAAAAAGTTGTCATTTTAATAAAAATATAAATACTTTAAAAATACAACTTGTTGGAACAAACAGAGCAATACAGAAAATAAAAATAACATTCAACAGCAAAATAAAATACAGACATATTTTTTCCCATTCAATCATTTTCTCTTCATATCAGTTTTATGATCAACCATACCAATTGCTCACATTAATATTAAAAAAATATATCCCATCAGAGCAAATAACAGATATATAAACTTTCACTTCTTATCAAAATATATATATTTTCCCCTTCGGTAACATGTAGATATATATAATTAACTTATAGTTAATGTCCAGGTCATAGATTTAACTATTCATGATCGGTTTCAGTAGCAAGTTGATTGACAGGTGTCCCTGCCAATGGAATGATAGGCGTGTCCATGGTCATTGTGATCTAATCTGTGTTTCAATGGTTCCTATTGGTCACTAGTGTTGCTGGGGTTGGTTGACTTGACCCATGAACAGAACAGCACCTGGGATGGGAAAACAAATATATTTTATATTAGAGAAAGAACAAGGTAGGAAGTATGTCAAAGTGTCAGAGGGACAAAGATAATTCCAACAAGATCATACAGCAAATGTAGGGACAAAATGGCTTGACTTCACTTGAATTTACTTGAAAGTGTATGCACTTCTATAAAGAGGGCACAGCTAGTTAGACTTATAGTGAGTGGAGACAGTGGATAACCAAGGCTAAGATTTTTTTGTTTTTTTACATAGATGGTGATGTAGCAACAGGAGGAAGGTGTTTCCTTAATTGGGGAGGACGGGCTCGTGGTAATGCCTGGAGCGGAATTGGTGTAATGGTATCAAATACCTCGAACACATGGTTTGCATGTGTTTGATGCCATTCCATTTGCTCCATTCCAGCCATTATTATGAGCCGTCTTCTCCTCAGCAGCTGCCACTGTGATGTAGGTAAAGTAAGGGAAACTCACCTGTGGACTTGTGTTGGATGAGGAAGAGGAAAGGTCTATCCAGAGTGATCTCCTCTACAGCCATACGAGAGAACATGATGGCAGCTGTAAAAGGGCAAAGACAGGAGAGGAGACAATGCAGTCAAAACACAACTCAGATACTATCATAAATTCATCATAAATGTATTATCTTTATGTGCATCTCTATGATAGGCAATACAGTCCAAACACAACTCTCTATTATCGTAAAGTTATCATCAATTCCTTATGAATTATCATAGTGTACATCCATATCACAGGAGGCTGCTGAGGGGAAGACGGCTCATAATAATGGATGGAATGGAATAAATGGAATGGCATCAGAAACATAGAAACCGTGTGTTTGATGTGTTGGATACCATTCCATCTATTCTGTTCCAGCCATTACTATGAGCCCGTCCTCCCCAATTAAGGTGCCACCGGACACCTGTGTGTGATCCATATAATAAATACGGAATTGAGTCTGTCATCAACATGTAGTCTATGGGTCCTTTACCCGTAGCAGCTGATCCCTTGGTTCCCTCCTCGTTCACCTCAATCTTGACTTTCTGCAGAACCTTGGACACACACAGCCGCTCCTCTGCTGAAAGAGAGGGAGGGAAAGAGAGGGGGGAGGTTAGATTCTTTGTCTAAAAAGAATAAGAAAACATACAGTATATTTGTTGAACACTGAAAATATAGAAGTGGAATGCTAGTGTGGATATTGGAACAGAGCCCATCCTATTCCATAGGCCCTGAGCCTGGTCAAGGAAGAGCACTATATAGTAAATAGCGTGTCATTTCAGACACCAACTGATGAATAGTAATGGTGGTAAGGTACTCACTGGTGACGTGTGTGAAGTCTGCCTTGGCCAGGTTGAACATATCCCCCAACCCCATCCTGATTAGAATAGGCTTCAGATCCACCTCAGAGTCCAGGGTGAACCTAGGCAGGACCAGTTGACGTTTAACGGTCCTCAGCTCCTGTCTCCACTGCTGCAGCCGTTGGGTGGTTAGCTCGCTACTGAGTGAGCTCACTGATGTCTCGGGCTCAAAGGGGGAGACCAGCAGCATGCTCAGGGACTCGCCCTCGTACGGAACCTCGATGACGTCGTAGTCCACGCCGTCGGGGGTCACAAACTCACCTGTAGAGGAGGAGAGGAAAGGTGGAGGTTGGATTAGTTTCATTTTGATTGGTGAAGGTAGCAGTCATGATTGGTTTTAACACTATAGCTGCAGGCTTGGGGCTGACTTGTATGAATGACTGTTGAAGAGTACATACCCTAAGGGCCGAGTTTTAACTAGATGGCTGTAAAATGATGTCAGTGGGAGACGGGAATTATGTGCACAGATCTCATGTTAGGATTCTGTCCTAAGTGAGGTCGTCTAAAAGTAACACAAGTGTTTACACACAAAAAGGCTGGATTAAAATTCAACTCAAATCTTTAAAGTGGCAACATGCTACCCACCGTATTTGAAGCGGTGGGTGAGCCTCATCATGGGAACGGGCACGGAGCTGCCATTGGCACAGTGGAACATCCTCTCCTCTGTCATCTTGGGGTCAAATGGCACCTTCCATAACCCCTGGAAGTGAAGGGCGTTCAGCAGGACCATACGGGTCTCATCGGTCAGAGCACCGGAAGACAGGAATGAAGGGATGGTACCTGGAGGAAAGAGAAGAGAGAGTTATGGAGGTTTGTTGAGACAGTGGGGTCAGTACTGTGACAACAAAAACACACATTTTTGATGTCATGGTATAATTGACTAATAAAGTATATTCCATTCTATTATATTCCATTCTATTTTATTCTATTCCATTCCATTCTATTATTATTATGATAAATACTAAACTATCCTCCACTTTGTGTCATCTGTGAAGGTATACTGTATTCAGTACTACTGTATCTCACCTGCGGTATGGTCAGAGACCCAGGTGTTGATGATGTCCAGGGCCTGGTCTGGCCTGGAGAAGTCCAGCTGGTGAGGGGAGGCCTGGAAGGCTTTCCCCAGCCCCCGCCTAAAGCCTTTCTCCAGAGCCATCTTCCTCTCTACCATGACGCCGCTGGCCAGCTCCACTCCCTCCACACTGGAGATGTCCCGCTGGAGAAGACGCTGCTGACGCGCCATCCCTCGCTCTGGAGGAGGAGAGAAGGATTGATTGATTAATTGATTTTAATTTATGGTTAAAGGTACAAAGAAGGATGGAGAGAAAGAGGAGGAGATAGAGGAGAGGAGAGAATGAGAGAACGAATGAGTCACAATTGCATAGAGAGATGTTGAGATAGTGGGAATCAAATCTAATGTTATTTGTCACATGCTTCGTAAACAACAGGTGTAGACTAACAGTGAATGCTTACTTCACAACAATGCAGAGAGAAAAAAAAGACATAATATTAAAAGTAATAATATTTACACAATGAGTAATGATAACTTGGGTATGTACAAGGGGTACCAGTACCGAGTGGAATGTTGCTTGTCACTAGAGTCTCTTATTGTTATAAATATGTCATCGTCAAGGCCTCATTGTTTAGATATAGCCAAGTCTACCATCTGTCTCACTTTGTAAAAGTCAAAGTATTATCAGACACACAGCAGCAATCCTTCCTTGCCTTGTAGTGAGAAACCCAACTTGGCGTTCAGGGTCTTCAGGGTGTTGCCCCCAGCTCCCAGCTGAGCCATGCCCAGGATGGTGGCCACGCCGTAGGGGGAGAAGGCCACGTTAGACCCCTTGGAGGTCTGGGCCACCTGGGTGAAGACCCTCATCCCAAAGTCTGTTTGTTTCTCCTGGAGGTTAGAGAGGGCAGCTCCGGACATGCCGAGGAAGATCCACACGTACAGGCACAGCATCCTGGGGAGAGATGGAGGAGAGGAGCGCGATGAGTGGAGTGATAGAGAAATCTTACAACACCATTTACAGTCACAGCACCCTGAAAGAGATGGAGGAGAGGGTTAGATGAATCTAACAACATTATATACAGGTAAAGCATTCAAAGGAGAGAGGGAGGAGAGGAGAGAGCGATTAGTGAAATGATAAAAGGATCAAAGAAGAAAGATCAAAGATGAAAATATCTGTCAGATGCGTAGCTGTACAAGAGTGTTACCCGAGGGGTTACATATAAAAATGTTAATACCATATGTTTTCTTGAAACACCCAGGTCAGTTTCTGAGTCAGCATAAAATACCTTGCAGTAGGCACACGTTCTGCTGGCTAGCTATTAGAATTTAGAAGCCTTTTAAAAAGCATTCCACAGCTTGTTTATAGCTAAATCTGTTTGTCGTTTCACCTTGGCACAGAGACACAGTGGCCCTGGCATTGGATTGCTGTGGGTACAGACAGACATCGGTGAGACAAAACAAGAGACAAGACACAGGTGCTGGCCTTGAACATGCGGGTGTGAGCCAGACAGAGAGAGAGAGAGAGAGAGAGAGAGAGAGAGAGAGAGAGAGAGAGAGAGAGAGAGAGAGAGAGAGAGAGAGAGAGAGAGAGAGAGAGAGAGAGAGAGAGAGGGAGGGAAAGAGAGAGAGAGGGAAAGAGGGAAAGAGAGATAGAGAGAGAGGAAAAGAGAGAGAGAGAGCGAGAGAGGGAAAAAGAGAGAGAGAGCGAGAGGAGAGAGAGAGAGAGAGAGAGAGAGAGAGAGGAAAGAGAGAGAGAGAGAGAGGAAAGAGAGAGAGAGAGAGAGAGAGAGAGAGAGAGAGAGAGAGAGAGAGAGAGAGCAAGAGAAAGTGCATGTTTGAGAGAGAAAGAGAGAGACAGAAGTGTGTTATAAAGTAGATAGGATGAAAGGGGGGGGGATAAGCACCACAACCCTAAGTAACCCTAACACTCTAAGCCAACAAAGACCATGGGTTGTGCAGAACACAGTCAGTACAAGACGTGTTTCTTGTGGTTCCTACTGTCGTCTACTACTCCTCTACTCAGCCTCCCCCAGTTCAAACATAATGGTCTGCAGGTTCTGTTTGTCCAACTTGACTCACCTCTCGTCCTGTCAAAAGCCCTTTCACTGTGCGGTGACTGACCTAGTGACTGGACAACAGACAGTAGCTGTGCCACGGAACTTCTACAGAACAGTCTCCTGAAGTTTTGGGTTCTAATATTGATTCTTATACCATGACATTGTTGAATACTCGTTTCTGATTGGCTTGAAGGGCAATAAAACTGTTATAACCTCTGAGTTAGTTTAGTGACACACACACACGGACAGACGGACAGACAGACAGACAGACAGACAGACAGACAGACAGACAGACAGACAGACTGACAGACAGACAGACAGACAGACAGACAGACAGACAGACAGACAGACAGACAGACAGACAGACAGACAGACAGACAGGCAGACAGACAGACAGAAAGATGGTCAATATGTTTCCATTTAGTGATTTGTTACATAATAATAACAAATGAAATTTTTTAAAAGTTTGCATGAGGAGCATATTCCAAGATATGATAAAACTTGTTCTAATGAATATAATAATCCAAACTCACACTTAAATTGAAGTTGAAGTGTTGAAAGAGGAACTAGTTGAAGATGAGCTTGAGAGTTGCTTGAGTAGGTCTTGAGCTGCTTGAGAGTTGCTTGAGAGTCGCTGTAATAGTAGTAGGTCAGTCTTTTCCCTGTGAGTTAGAAGAGAAGCACCGGTTGAGTGTGAGTGTGTGAGTGCAAGTTCCACTGGTTTTTATAGCTTAGTCGTAGCGATATGCCTCCCCCTCCCTCTTCACTCTAGGCCCCGCCCCCGTAGACACGCGCCGAGAAGAAGTTATCAGTGACTATGAGGTCATCATCCCTAACTGTCTGGAGTGGCCTCACTCCTTAGCGAGGCTGTGGCACGCACACATACATGCACGCACTCTTACATACACACACACTAGTGCACACAAGCACACACACTCTCTCTCTCTCTCTCTCTCTCTCTCTCTCTCTCTCTCTCTCTCTCTCTCTCTCTCTCTCTCTCTCTCTCTCTCTCTCTCTCTCTCTCTCTCTCTCTCTCTCTCACTCTCTCTCTCTCCATCTCTCTCTCTCTCTGACACACACACTTATGTTCTTTGTCACTCTCTCCATATCTCACAGACACATTTTTCTCTTTGTTTCTTTTTGCACTCAGAGAGAGAGAGTGAAGGAGTATGTCCAGTCATGCTGTTTCCTCAGGGGAGTTGGGAGCGCCCACTGTCTGGCAAGGGCTGCTAGGAGGAAAAAAATCCCAACTCACCGACTGGCCGATGTCCAGTTCATGCTTACTAAACCAATGTCACCATTGTTATGTTTAGAAATGCCCTCACTGAGAGCAATGAGGCTCACTATTCATGTTTAAGAGAATGAAAGTGTGTCTGGATTAAAATAGTGGTTTTCTGAGAGGAGAGGAACTGAGAGAGACAGAGAGAGAGAGAGAGAGAGAGAGAGGTTGTGTACACCTTTCCACCAAGGAATCTCACTGAGAAAGGAAGGTCTCTCATTATGTTCTGCTAAAGTGTTCCACCTTGTACTGTGTCTATTCAACTCTCTCTCTCTTATCGCATGCTCGAGCATCGCTCATGAGCTCTCTTCTATGCTATATGATAGCTCTATATCCTCTCTCTCTAGTATCGCGCGCTATATATCTCTCCTCTATCATCTCTCTCTATCCATCCAACCCCTCTCTCTCCCTCTCTCCCACCAACCCCTCTCTCTCTCTCCCTCTCTCCATTGGTGAGGGGTGACACACACAGATCTGACACATCTGGTTCTGTAGTTGCCAGCATTCCATGTGCGTGCATGTGTATGCTTTGACATTTTGGACTGTATATTTTCCAGTTCTGCCACAGCTATGTGTGTTTAAAACGTGTGAAAAGTAAAATGAACCGCGACTTCACTAAAAGCCCTGAGGGCAAAACACAAAAGGAATACTTGTTCGGTCAAGCTGTATTCCGGAATGCTGGACACCCTCACAGAATTCTAGTGCCTTTACACTCTCCTTCAAAAATCGTACTGTAACTGTAACTGTCTCCACAGCAACTGGGATGGAGGGGGTCGGGGTGAGCTTGAGGCAACAGACTTGTGATGCGAAAGAAGACATGGTAGTAAATTTGAGTCTATGATGTCATAGACTGTTAAGATTTTGTTGTTGCTTTTTAAACTAGAAGTGTTTTTGTCGCTGCTGTTGATGTTGGTGTTGCCGTTTGCTTCGTGTTCACGTGTGTTCATGAGCTTCACTGCCTAGTTCCACACAACATGTTGAGACTGTGTTGTAGATGTAAACACAACTGGTTTTCCTATCAAACTAATTAACTTGAAGTGTAGGTAAATTACACACACAAACAGAAACAAAACACAGCTCATAGCATTGTCATGACATCATAGTCATCATCATTTATTTTTGTAGGACCCTTAAAAACTTAATCTCTGTCATTGTCATATGTGTTTGTATAATGAGACTAAAAATACCACTTCTATCAAACAGACATGATGTCACCATTGAACCCACCCCCCACCCACCCACACACACCCCTAGCCCCCCTTCATTTGGTACATTCCTTATTAGGTTGTCAATGGAAATCTGGTTTGACTGCACAATCCATTTCCTTTCAAGAGGGATGAGATGAGCATGGGAATGGGAACTCACTCTGGAACAGTGGTAGTCATGCACTGTTCTGTTACTATGGGCAACAGACCAGGGGTTCTCTGGGAAAGAAATTAGGCCTAACCCAAAACACATTTTGGATGAAAGACAAACAGCTTTTATGTAACATTAAAACTCCCCTTTCCTAACCACTTTCCAAAATAAATTAAGGGCGGTGTGCGGTGACTGGACAACAGACAGTAGCTGTGCCACGGAACTTCTACAGAACAGTCTAAAACTCCCCTTTCCTAACCACTTTCCAAAATAAATTAGTTCAACATTTGTTTCAATTCTACTTAGGTTTTTCAGGCCTAAGGCTATTCAGGCCTAAAGGTAAAGCAAAAAGCTGCGGTTTAAAAGGAACAGTTTGCGGCCTACTCATAGAGTAATGTGGAAAGAGATGAAAGATAAACTGTCATACATTTGAAATATGCATTGAGAAATCATCAGTGAAATTTTTGGTGTTTCTACTATTCCACAGAGAAAGAGGAACCGGTAAGCTTCTGCGGTTTTAAGGAACCGTTTTCAGCATACTCATAGAGTACTGTGGAAAGAGATGAAAGATAAACATATGATATTACATTGAGAAATCATCAGTGACATTTTTGGTGTTTCTACTATTCCACAGAGAAAGAGGAACCGGTAAGCTTCTGCGGTTTTAAGGAACCGTTTTCAGCATACTCATAGAGTACTGTGGAAAGAGATGAAAGATAAACATATGATATTACATTGAGAAATCATTAGCGTCCGTACAAATGCACTCATTTTGACAAGATACATTGTTTGATCATCACATGATTGGATGTGGTTGTCTTACAAACACTTCACTTCACACAGACGTAGACAGTCATACACACACTCACACTTCACTTCACACAGACGTAGACAGTCATACACACACTCACACACATTTCAAAATTTCTAATTTCATTGGAATGGTTATTTGCGTAATTTTCCGCGATGGGGTTCTAAGATAAATCCTGAATCAGCTGGGGAGTAATCACTGCAATCCATCTGTCATCACTTTCAAACTCCATGTGTAATCAGTAGAGCTGGGTTATATATGGACTAAGATCCATATTAAATTGCCTGAATTGATGCGATAACGATGAATAGAATGATACGTTTATAACATTCATTTGTTTATTATCCTTTAAACTACTAATACTAGTTTGATAGTTGTAGCCATCAATTGTCCCATTAACAATCATCCATATTAGCAAACGTATTTCATTTCAAACTTCACATTTCTCT